ATAGTTGTATGGCACTAAAGTATTATAAATGTAAATATCAAACTTTAGGTGTTATACATGCGTTAATCCGATTGCGGCTCATATAAATTTTCTTTTCTTTCTTTTTTTTTTATAATTTTTTAGTTCAAATAATTGACTCTGGATTATGATGCAAATCTTTGTGACTGTTGTGCAATTATCGACATTACGGGGTGCTTCTCGCAAAATTCTTTTTGTTTCATTGGAATGCCAACAAATGCTCATGTATTTAAATATCTAGCACCCAAACTTTACTTTTCATAATTATACCACCCAAATCATTTTATTACATTAAAAATATTTCCATTTTAACCTTTGAAAAAGGTGAGATATGCTTTTTCATGCATATGTAAGGTGGATGTATATAAAAATTGAAGTTAGATATTTAACATGTAGACACATAGGATTTGGTGTAAATTTTTCTTTTTTTTTTTTTTTTTTTTTTTTTCCCCCTCTTTTTTTTTTTTTTTTTTTTTTTTTTTTTTTTTTTTTAATTTACATGGAAGACCTAGATTAATTAGTTTGCTTTTTCTTCTCTCTTTTTCTTTTTTTTTTTATTGCTTTATTCAACTATTGCCTTTATGAAGGGATAAAATTTATAATTTTGTTGCTTTAACAAATTCCTCTTATCATCTAGGATGGTATGGTCATCGTTTAATTTATATTATTGGCATTATTATTATTTTAAAAAATAATTTTTAGTTTGCTATTTAAGTGATTAGGTCAATTTGTTCCTTATGTGAAAGAGGCCTCAAAAGTTGTCTATCAGGCATTTAATCATCTGAAAAAGAGTCGGTCTTGAAATATTATTCGTAGAATTTATTAATTTTTTTCTCTGATAATTATTCAATTTTTTTTTCCTCTCACTATTTCATATGCAAATATTAAAGTTTATTTGTTGTAAAATTTAAATATATAAAACCCTTTTTTTTTTTTTCAGCACAATTTTTTTTTCTTTCATGTTTTCTCATAGTTATTACCTATCAAATAACTTGACAAAATGATTAGCTATTTGGTGAGACTTTTTACAAAATATGGTAAGGTAAAAGTTTAGTAATTTGGATTAAAGGTAAATACATATAAAATTTGGCCTAATGAATGTTTGTTATGAAAAAAAGATACTCTGATTATATCTCTTTAATTACATTTATTTGATATAAATTAAGGCTTTTTTAAAATTTTAATTTGATCTAAATTTGACTATGTGTTCATGCATACATGTATTAGTTGCACACTTATAACATTCTAAGAAACTTAAAATAATTAATAAAATAAGAAAATTATAAAATTTTATATTTGTTGGATGCATATTATATTCAAGTTACTTAATCTTGAGGGTTGAGTCATAAGTACTAACAGGTTCTCATAAGTTAAAACAACAACATTACCTGACTACTTATGCATGTGACTGAACTCAAGGATTTGAAGCATATGTTACTTAGTTGGCTATCTTTTTAAGGCATAACCATAAGTATAGAAGAGTCAGGTAGGATTTTACTTCTCAGGGGGAGAGAGATTTTTAAGTCCTATTTTACCTTATTAACTTGATTTGAGCTTCCTATATATCTCAAAGTGCTCATTTTATTTTAGATTCTGAGACACTTTATTTCTCTTTACTATGACATAAATCCCTATTTCGTAAGACATACCATGGTCCTATACTATTAAGATATAGGTACAAGTATTCTAATAAAAAGCCTACTCAAATACAAAATTAATCTCAATTTTTAAAATATAAAGCCTAACTAAATGATAATTTGAGACATTATTGAGCTTCTCATTATCTAGTAGTTTCAACTCCTCTTTTTTTGGTCTCTGATAATTATCATTATCCTAAAACTTTAATTTTATTCCAATTGAAAATCTAGAATAACTATCTTAAAATTCCAAATTTTGAAATCAATAAAAATAAAAGAGTCATTATTTTAATTGAGTGTTTTCTTAGAAGATGGGCTCTTTTAATATGTAATTAACAATAGGGATTTGTTTCTATAGAGAACATGTAACCCAGAATAAAATAAATCATGTCCTACCTAATTGAATGGAAAAAAAACATCTTTGTTTGCATGGACCTATCAATTTTAATTATGTTATTTAGTGACTGAATCTATTACATAATGATAATTTTATTTTTTAAAATAATATATTATTCTTATTTTTTTATTAAATCATCTAAATAGGAAATCTTCAAAATTATATAGGTGGTGTGTTCCTTAAGCCATGCTGCTCTACTTCATCATCTTCTTCTTTCTTTGTAACTTATTTTTTGGTGCATTAAGTGGTGAACTTTTGTAAAATCTCCTTATAGTGAGGGTTATGGACAAGCCCAATTAAGAGTTACCTTGCATCTTTCAAATGAAATAATAAAAATGATTAATTAAAAAAGAATAATTTACTTGCCAAAATGATGAAATTTGAACTAGAGTAAGATGATTGGAGAATCTTGATGCAAGCACTAGTCAACAACCTTTATAAGTGATCTCATTGATGTCCTTGCTAATGAGCTAGTAACAATATATAGATTTATCAAAATAAGTTAGTAGTTGAGCTACTAATTTCCCAAAATGATATCTTTAGCCAACAAATTTAATAATTTTTGAAAATAAATTAATGAATTTTAGAAAAAATAGATTAATAGGCAAGCTAATTATTCCTTTCACTCATTTTTAATGTTTTTTTTTCCAATAAAAATGTATTAATTCAAAAATACTCATTTATTTGGAGTTCATTTTTGTCTTCTTTGAATATTTTCACTAATATAGTGTTAAGCTATGTATATTCTCAAAGCTATTTGGCTGAATGATTATGTTGAGCAATTAATATTTGAGAATGTGAATAACTTCCATAAAATACTTCCCTCAAGTCTTGCCCGCCCTTTCCTTTTTTATGTATATACTTGAGCAAATGATATTTTTGGATGGGTCTCATATTTTGCCAACACTTTTTTTCTTCAATAGGGGAAGCTACCAAATATTGATATTAATGAAAGTCCATACTCTTAGAATAGACTGTGTGTTTAAATGGTATACAATAGAATAAGACAGTTGATTTAATTACACAATTTTAACTATTTTCATTCATCTAAATAATTAATGTTCCTTTTGTTGGATAATAATTTCCAAAATATCAAAATCAATGAGCATCTTCAAATAATAAAAATCAAGTTTATCAAGTAGCTATAATGATTATCTACCTCCTAAAGCATTGCAGAATAATGAATATCTTGTTCACTGAGATTATCAAATAACAAATATCGAGTTTACTGAGTATTGTTAGGCAATGAATATTACACTTTATGAGTATTTTCAAGTAAAGGACATACATACGATCCAGTATCATTTAATTAAGTTTTTTTTTTTTTTTTTTGCCATTAAGAATCAGTTAAATTAAAGAGTATCTAGCTCTGCGATTGCTATGGATTATCGATTTCTTATGTTGCACGTCAAAAAAAATTTAGATTATTCTAAGAGTGTACTTTACTAAAATATTTAAAATTTTGAATCAAATTAAATCCATTAGTTATATTTGAATGTTACTTATAGTATTGACTAAGAAAAGAGAGACAAAATAATGAAGAGAGAAGAGAAAGAGAGAAAGATGCAAGACATGAAATAATACTTTTATTTTTTTATATTGCCAAAAAAATTAAGAGATCAATACAATCAATTTTGTCTGCATACATTTCTTCTTACCCCCTTATTTATAGGTGGAGGTAGATGCTAGGCCATATAAGAACATTAGATTAAATGAACATATATAAATTATTAAATGTGGCCTAATCATTGCATTTCATAAAATGAAGATACTCCAAATATATTCCCTTAATGACATTTGATATAAATTAAAAATTTTCAAATATAGGGCATACATGTAGTAAGTCACCAATCAACTTTGCATGCTTTGAGTAGTCATGTAGACATATTTAAATGAGCATGTCTAATTGACCTCATGGGGTCGAGTGAGCTAGCAAATTCATCATGTCTCTAATGAGTTCACAACGGATCGCGTGAATATATTCTAGATCTAATTATTATGTGCTAAACTTGATTAGTACATATCTGTGTTGTACCTAAAAGAGTTCATTTCGAACTTGGTTAGTATATGTCATATTTGATGAGTTCGTATTAAAATTGTTGAGCTTTTGTCGAATTAGATAAGTTTGTATCAAACATAGAATCTTGAGACCATAAATTATTCAAGTATACAACTATAATATGGAATGGGAAATATTTTATGTCTAAAGAATCAATTTAAATTTAACTAAAAATGATTCATTATAATATGATTTTTGTGCTAAGACAAGAAATGAAAATGTAGATTGATAGAGAGAGAGAGAGAGAGAGAGAGAGTATGTTAAAGTATCATGCTAATTGGTTTGAAGAGCATGATATAACTTATGTTGGAGTATCATGCTAATTGGTTTGAAGAGCATGATATAAAGCAATAAGATAATGCTAAAATTGAAAATATATACATTAGAAAGAATGAATTAATATTTGAAATAATTCTAGAATGATCATAGAACTAATCACATTAATGATCAAAATTAAGTGTATGTATTTATGTATTGATCATGTGGACGCTTTATACTACTCATTTTATTTGGTTTGTGACCTCCCGTGCGTAAAATGTGGTATTCGAATATTTATCATATCTAAGGATGTTCGGAGATCCTCTAATAGCCTCCAACCATTCCTTTTAATATATATATATATATATATATATATTTGGCAAATGATATAATATTTTTAAAGTAAAATTAGATAGTTAAAAATGCATAGTATAAAATTATATAATTTTTTTGCATTTTTCTCTTGATAATTATTATCAAATTAAAAAATGCAACGCGAATAAGCTAAACTTATTAGAAAAACAAATGTGGATTATAAAATTTTGGGAAATTTACATAACTAAAATTCTTATGTATTTACATATCTACACTATGTTAAGAAAATAATAACAATAAAATGGATAAAATTTGAATCAACACAGCGGCGTTGATCTCGCCCCCCATTTTCCTCCACCGGACGAAGTAATGTTGTTGTGAAGCAGAACGGAAACTCCGCAACTCAGATCGGTCGGCGATCAGTAGACTAAAGACGAGCGAAGGAAGAGGATAACAGAAACCCTAACTAGATTCAATCCCTCCCCACTTTGATCTTTTCAAACTGCTATTTTTATCTCCCGATATTAGCTCACTGGTTCACCACTCAATTTGATAACAATCCATTCCCCATCCCCTTCTTTCAGACCAATTGTTTCCCCCTCTTTTTAGTTCTTGAATCCATCTTTCCTCGGTTCTGTACTCGAATTGATTTAATTCGTGAAGGAGCCGAGGATTCAGTTCGATATCGCTTCCAGGTTTTGATTGTTTTGTGTTAGATTTAGGGAATCGAACTTCTTGATGGATTCCAAGTTGTAGTGTAGGACATTGCCCTCGTTTGCTTCTTGTTTCCGCCGGAGCTGATCCCTGTGAGGGAGGGGCAGCCGAGGGCAAGCCTAGGTTTTTAATTGGAGCAGAACAATGGCGTTGGCTGGGATCGCACTCAATCCAATTGGATATGATTCTGCTCTCTCCTTCTTCAAACGGTCGGCTCTTTGCCACCCAGAGCCCATTCTTGTTTACCTTGCGGTACCTGGTTCGTCCGCGATCCCCATGCCGATCTTCGAATCGGACTCCATCTCCTCTGTTAAGCTCCGCATTCAAAGAAGCAAGAGTTTCATCATTAAGAAGCAGAAACTTGTTTTCGATGGTCGGGAGCTTTCGAGGAACGATTGCCTTGTAAAGGACTATCGCGTTTCGGATGGCAACGTGCTTCACCTCGTCATCCGATTTTCTGATCTTGGGATTATTACCGTGAAGACTGTGTGCGGCAAAAAATTGGAATTCCATATTGAAAAAAACCGCACGGTCGCTTATGTCAAGCAACATATTGCCAAGAGGGGCAAGGATCTCGTTGATCTTGATAGCCAAAAGCTATGCCATGATGACAAGGAGCTCGATGATCACTTGTTGATTCAGGATATCTGTAAATCTAATAATGCCGTGATTCATTTGATCGTGCGCAAGTGCGCTGCAGTCAGGAGTAAACCGATTGACAAGGACTTGAAGCTTTCGATATTGGCTCCATTTGCAGCTGCAGGAGGAAGAGGCAAGAAAACAGTGAAAAGGGAGGCTTTGATTGAGCCATTTGTTGTCAACCCTAATATTGTGTTATCACCCGTAATCAAGAACCTCATTCAATCTGCACTGGCTGGACTAGAGAGGGGGAATCCCCCAGTGATGTCCTCCCAAGGTGCGGGCGGTGCGTACTTTTTGCGGGACGCATCAGGTCAAGAATTTGTAGCGGTTTTCAAGCCGATTGATGAGGAGCCGAGTGCGGAGAACAACCCAAGGGGATTTCCTGTGTCGTTGGATGGAATTGGATTGAAGAAGGGGACGCGAGTTGGGGAGGGGGCGCTCCGGGAAGTTGCAGCTTATCTGCTCGACCATCCGATCGGCGGGGGGGGGGGGGGTCGGCGGGCGCCGAAGACCAATGTGTGATGAATTTGGTTTCTCCGGCGTTCCTCCAACTGCGATGGTTCGCTGCCTGAGTGGCAGTTTTAATCATTCGAAAAGGCTTGATGGTGTTGCGCAAGATTTCAAGGTTGGGTCAATGCAGATGTATGTGAAGAATTGTGGGAGTTGTGAGGATATGGGTCCCCGAGCTTTTCCAGTGGAGGAGATTCATAAGATCACTGTGTTGGATATACGATTGGCTAATGCAGATAGGCATGCTGGGAATATTTTATTTTGCAAGGAGGGTGAAGAAAACCGAATTGTATTGGTCCCCATCGATCATGGGTATTGCCTTCCAGAGGATGTAAGTTTACAATTTCTGTTATTTTCAGTATTTTGTTGATTTATTATGGATATTGCCTACGTTTTTCTTGGTATTTTTGCTCAAAACATTCTTTTCTATTGTTATGTAGGATCAATTTCCATGTATTTTATAATAATTCTGTTGTCTTAGATTTGTAAACTTCCACATAATTTGAAAAATTCCACGTAGATTAGCTATGTACTTTGATTCAAAGTTTTGTTGATAATAAACAAGGCTTTTAAAGTTAGAACAGATTGGATCGATTGGTTTGAATATGAACCGATCATGCCTCCAGTTCGGTTAGCCTAAAAAATCAGTTTTGCATTAAATCGATGAGAACCAGGGTTCGACTGTTGAGCCGTCAAAATGATCTCAATTCATGGAACCGTTCAGCTCAAATTTTGCCATATTAATGATAGTTAATCTATTATCCAAGTATATAATTTTACTATATATAAAATTAAATTTATGAAACTTGTTATATTAAGTATCACAACATGCCGAGCCATCAACCCCTTTCTAAATTCTAGAATTTCAAACTCTTTCTTGTGTGTGATTTCACCCCCACTCATTTGCATGTGAGGCATTCTTTGAAATCGTTCTACAATTCCCTATTCCTTTGTCAGATGTTTGTCGGCATTCACAGTCCTACTTAAAATTGCCTTCTTTGTTGCCTAGGTAGGATATAGTTTTTACAAAATCTTAAATTTTATTTCTCGCTTTGATATTATTTGGTATGAAAATTTTGTTTTGTTCTTTATTTAGCAATTACATATTGTGATTAGATTTTTGGAGAAAACTCTAGCTCTAAGGAACAACCTTCTTGATATATATGTATATGATTTATATTTCTTAATATATTTCTCCTATTCTATGCCTATTGTATTATTATTAAGTTATTTAAGATATTTTATTATTTTAATATTTATCATATCATTCGATTCAACCCCTAGTTTAACCTTCAAATTTTAAACATCTTTCGGTTCTATTTTGAAACCTTGATAAGAAGTCATCATTGATGATCAAATTTGTGCTTAACAAAAATGGGAGTGATATAATGAATGTGATAAAATGAGGATAGAAGATCATTTTTTATTCGGAGAAAAGAAATTTCTTTATATTTATTATAATATAGAACCCTTCTTGATATTCTCTTAAAATAGACAAATAATAAAAAATAAAAAAAAAATTCTGGTGCTATGAAAAACGCAAAAGGGACACTACTAGAACTTAAAATTAATATGTAAAAGAAAACACTGGATGATGTTTATCTAGCTCACATGTTAAAACTTTTGGGAAAATTACATACAGAGCACCTAATTCTTATTGATTTACCTATCTCACACCTAAACTTTCATTTTTACACACATGACACTTTATTTATGAATGAAAAGATAGATTTGACTATTAAAATGTGACAATGAGTGTTATTTTTCATATGAGACTTGTAATTATAAAAGTTTCGATGTGAGATGGGTAAATATAAAAGTTTTGAGTGCTATGTATGTAAAAGCCCCAAAACTTTTTTAGCCAAGATGGAAGAACAAAATTTTGAAGTTTTTTCTTGGTGGAGATTGACCCAAATGATAATGTCACTGATACCTAATGATGGTGGAGAAGAATGCATAAGCGACTTCGGGTGTTTAGTAAACTCCCTTAGTTTCTATAATTTCACTAATTGCCTTCCTTCGATTGAGATCTTGAAGATATTAAGATATAAAATGATACAAAGCAGTTATTTATTTTAATAAGACAATTAATATGGATGAAATAAAATTGGGATTTGGGAACTTATAAACTTTTTGATAGTGATAAACCTTTCGATTAAAGACAGTTTTTTTAAGATACAGGCGAGAGAAAACTATTTGCAGTCATGATAGGTGCATACTTATCAATGTCAAGTAGTGCACCACTGGGCAAATGTTTGTGTGGAGTCATGCCGCACCATTTTAATTATATGGATAAAAATGCAATCAAATGTGAATATCGGAAGATTTACAGATAAACAATCATGATAATGAAAACAACCAAAGTAACTTGCTTTAATTGGTTAATGCCTCAACCAAGTAATGAAATTGATGCCATATATTAGAATTTTAGGAGCTTTGGAAGACGCACTTCAAAGTCGTTAGAAAATTTGAGAAGCACTGTTACGTAATAATGGTTATTCTAATTAGAGGAGCTTCTCTTTACTGTTTGGCTCAATCTCCATCTAGATATTGTAATACCGATAACCTGTGTTCTAAAAGGAAGCAAGGAAATGTCAAAATATTCTCCTAACTTTTTGTAAGGGGTCATTGTAGTATCAGAGTAAAAAAGATGTCAATTTGGTGCACAAACTCTTTTAATATGGGCTGAAAAAGTCGTGAAGGAGGACTATTCGATGACTATTTCAGCCCCACTCTTGCGGACTATTTCAGCTCACATTAAAAGATTCATGACTAGATGGACAGTTCTATAGATTCTGGGGCTAAAATAGTCTCATGTAAATAGTTAGGAGACTATTTTGACACTTTTCTCAAAAGGAAGCAGTTTGTTTGCTTGCCTGTTGCTTCTGAGTTTCCTGACTCACATTGAGAAACTAAAGTAGGCGTCTTTATTTGTCTTCACAATTAATGTTTCTCCTTTCCATACTTATTGTTCCACACCCAAATAATGAAATTCACCTGCCTTTCTTTGCACTTCCTGCAGTTTGAGGACTGCACATTTGAGTGGCTTGACTGGCCACAAGCTCGTATCCCTTACAATGCCGAAACCATCGAGTACATAAGATCGCTAGACATCGAAGAAGACATTAAACTTCTCAGGTCTAATGGCTGGGAATTGTCGCCTTTGTGCTCCCGAACTCTGCGAATCTGCACCATGCTTCTCAAAAAAGGTGCAGAAAGAGGACTCTCTCCTTACGACATAGGGAGAATCCTCTGCAGGAAGACGCTCAAGGAAGAATCGAAGATCGAGGGTATGATCCGCAGAGTGAAGGAAGCCATTCATCCTTACGCTGGTGAGTCTACCTTCATTGAATCCATCTCTGAAATAATGGACTGTTATCTTGATGAGCTTTCTGCTTGATCAAGTAATGTTTTATTGAGCAGATATCCGTATAAATATAGATCAAATATATGTTTGAAGTGCAGTATGTATATTTATGGATACATGGTCTGTGCTCCCCTCTGCTTAGTATATATGTTCATCCAGTGATCATAGATTATAGAGGGTAGAAGTGCTTAACCTTTAGCTCTCTTTTTCTGTATATGTGTTTTCCTGAAGACTTCATAGTTCTGAGAGGATGGAAAACCTTGCAATCATTTGCACTGCAGTCACTTGTTTTCATTGTTGATTTCTGCGAGTGGAAGTGAGAGTTGAATAAAAAACTGGGATTATTTTAGTTTCTTTCATTATTATTATTTTTTTTAGTTTTTGGGATTGTTTTAGTTCTATTATGTAAAGTTGTGTAAATTATTTCCAGCTATGTGATCTGATTGTGGTTTTTTTTTTAATTAATTTTAATTTTTATTTCAATTCTGTGATCAGTAGTATATTCTGAACCTCCCCTAAGTGAAAAATGGAGTAACCTACATGTGTTTTCCTTATGTTCAAAGAATGTATATATATCTTTATGTATTTGAAAGTAAAGTTATTTCTTCATGTAGTTTTACTCATGTGAAGTCTTTTCTTCATGTTGTTTTACCCATGGAAAATCTTCTCCACATTTAGTTTTAGCCATTTGTAATTTTCTCCATATGTAGTTTAACCCATGAGAAATCTTCCCAATGTGTATATCACACTTCATGTACAGTGTTCTCCATATGTCATGTGTAGTTTCTTCCAAGTGCAAAATATATGAAAGTGAAGTTAATTTCATGTTTAGAGTTTCCCCATGGGATAAGTATATATTTTTCCCTATGCCAATGATGTAAATAATAATAATAATAATAATAATGAACTTCTCATGTGTATTTTTGTGTAATGTGCAATTATGTCTTATTTATGTGCTTAGGACTAGCCATTTGTATATCTAGACATTTAGGATATGTCACTTTCAAGCTTATGTGGTTAACATGTGTCAATTCATAAACTTATATAAGCTGAACATTTAAAAGTTCGAAAAATAACTTTAAAACCTTAAAAAAATAATTTAAAACCTCTAAGCTTTAAAAAAATTCAAAAAGTAATTTTAAAACCTTTTAAAAATAACCTAAACCTCTAAATATTAAAAAATTCAAAAATAATTTTAAAACCTTTTAAAATAAAAACCTAAAACCTCTAAACATTTACAAATTCAAAATAATTTTAAAACCATTTAAAAATAACTTAAAACCTATAAACATTTAAAAAATTCAAGATAAAATAATTTAAAACCTTTAATAACTTAAAAATTTTAAAATTTTAAAAGCTTAATTTTTTAAAATACATTAAAACTATTCAAGAATCTTAATTTTAAAATATTTTTATATTTTTAAAACAATTTATAACATTTTGTAAAACACTATTAAACCATTTAAAATAAAATAACTTCAACTCTCAACTTTCAAAATACCTTTAAATCATTTGAAATAACTTAAAATTTCAGCCTTCAAAACACTTTCAATCAAAAGTTAAATAACGTAAAATGTCAACTTTCAAAACACTTAAAATCATCTGAAATAACTTAAAATTTCAACATTGAAACCATTTAATGACATAAAAAGTTAAAATAACTTAAACCCTTTTAAAAATAACTCAAAATCTTAACTAAAATGTATACCTTAATACTAGTTAAAATGCTTTAAAAGTTCAACATTAAAATACTTTAAAACTATTTAAAATTATTTTAAAATTCCAACATTAAAATACTTTTAAAATTCTAACTTTAAGATACTTTAAAACTCTTTTAAAAAAACTTAAACCTTTAAACTCTCGAGATTTAAACATTTTAAACTCTTAAATTAAGCTTGAAATTTTTCAATGTCAAACATTTAAAATATTTAAAATGTTAATCTTGAATCACTTAAAACTTAAAAAATCTTCAACAAAAAACACTTTGTCGCTAGTTTGTAAATTTTCATATCAAATCACATAAGCTTGCAATTTACATATGAACATTAATGATAAAACTTCAAATTAACAATATAACTCAAACTTAAGGATAAAATTGAAAGGAATGCATTAACTTAGACCAATAAACCAAATGCAATACTTTGAACATAGAATATCTTGATTTTCATGTTGGCCGACAAACATAAGAATTGAAACAAATCATAAATTAAATGTCAAACCCCAAAATAAATCTAAAATGCACCATATTAAATAACGTAAATCATTACTAGGTTGATCAGTCCTAAGTTAACTTTAAAAAATATATATATAGGGTCATGGATTCTCTAGAATGGTTTAGTCTAGATGCCTAGTTTAGATTATTATGTATTCCTAATCAGCACTAAGGACAAGGACCTATAAAATAAATAACATTACGCTTCTGGACTATATTGGTGCCCTAAAATAAAGTAACTCATGATTACTGACTAAATCGCCTCAAACCACCAGTTAGTAAGAATGTCAACACTCGACATCACTATGGCATTAAGTGAAGAACTCTAACTATCAAGTTGGTTGATAGTCTAAGATACCAATGAACTCGAGATGATAGAAAGCCATGAACATCTTTATCATAATGTTATAGCAAAAAATTAGGTTAGTCTACTTACTTAGCCTTCTTATAGAGTATAGGTTTTTTCTTAGGATTAGGGTTTCAACTTTCATATAGAAATCCTTCTGGCCAACCCCGTCTCTTTTGTCTAGGATCCAAGATCTTAAAGTTAAATTTCCAAACCCAATCTTTTTAACACAAATCTTATTCAAACCTTTTCAAGAAAAATCAAATTTTCCTCAATTCATACTTCAAAACCTTTTAAAAAACATCAAAATCCTAAACATTTAATACTTCAAAAACCCTTCTTAACACTTCAAATTCCTTCTCAAAACTTCAAAATTTAAACTTCTTAAAACTAACATTTTACAAAACTTCAAAATCTTAAATTTTTAAAACTTCAAAATCTTTTCCAAAACTTTCTAAAATTTTAAACTTCTATAACTTTAAAACCTTTTCAAAAACTTCAGATTTTTTATTTTTTGGAACTTCAAAATCTATTCAAAACCTTAAACAAATAAAACTACAAAACTTCCTTCAAAACTTTGAAATCTCAAACATCTCAAACTTCAAAACTTAAAACTTTCAATTGTCAATCAACCCAAATTAAAAATTTCAAACGCCAAAACAAAGTATTCTTAAAAAATATATTCAAATAACTTTAATAAATTTCAAATAAATGTATACTAATTTCAAATAACTTTAAGAAAACTTCAATAACTTTAAATAAACTTCTAATAACTTTAAATAAACTTCAGATAACTTTAAATAAATTTCAAATAAATTTTAAATAACTTCAAACAACATTTATTGCCTTCAAAAAACTTTCAAACAAACTTTCTTGATATTTAAACACACTTCAAATCAATTAACTCAAATCAACCAATCTTCCTAAATCAATCTTTTCAGCTCAAGTTAAACTTAAGTCAAAACCAATAAACTCAAATCAATCTTTTCAAACCAAATCAATCAAATCCAACCTTCCAAATTAAAATCCAACCCTTTTCAACAAACTTACAATTTCAATCTCCAGGGTTCAATTTCTTCTCTATATAAGCTGACCCTTTTCTTAGGCCTTTTCATCACACATCGTCATTACACTGTAAATCTTTAACTTTAAATTCCAAGATAAATCTTTTTGAGTTTTTTATATTTAAGGTCCTGAAACAACAACCTTGAAGACACCAACTTTCTAATCATGCATAATATCATTAAATACTTTAATCAAGAGTGTTCTCAAGAGCTACAACTCTTAAGTTATAATTAGCTATGAGGGCTTACCCTTATAGAAATACTAGAGCCTAGAATAAAATAAACACTATCATACTTCTGTAGGGTAGGGGAATAATTTTTTGTTACGCAGACTCATGAATTTTAAAGATTTTTCTCATCTGGATGATTAGATCTATTTTATGATAATACTTCTACCTCTCAGGATAGTGATATGTACAATCCTTTAGATAGAAACCATTTAAAATCTGTGGTAGATACTTCAACATCTTAACAAAGGACTACAACTTAAATTATTTTTATCCACAAGAGGGGTTTCTTAGTGAATCCACTAAGGAGGGTTCCTCTCTCCATCTATAGTATTGACTTATATTACTCTTCATCGGTAATGTGTTTATAACCCTTATAGACTTATATTACAATATTCTTTCTTATTGAACATTTCATTCATTTAATTATGGAATGGGTCTGCCTAACATACTTGAACTCTAGGTCCATAACCTCTCATTTAAACCACACTTAATGAGTAGGTTTTAAGACCCTCTTTGTCACACCTTCATGAGTGTGGTTTTGCACACTAGGTTTGGGTTAGGGAATCCCAACTCTATTGTTCAATTTTATTCTATTCTCTACTAGTCTCATTTCAAAATAAATACTTCAATCCAAAACTCTTTGAAAACATAAAACTAAAACAAAAAAAAATTTTAAACTAAACCTTTCCCCTGTTCATCCTATAAACAGGGTCCAACAGGTTGCATCCTTATAATGCACTCTTTGATTGAGTTTTTTTTTTTTTTTGAACAAGTTTAATTTTAAATTCAATAAGATTCAATTATTTAAGAGTTAGCATCCTACTAAAATCTTATGTATACTGTATCTACAAGAAATATATCTATTTGAAAGTGGAATAAGCCCAAAAACTCAAAAATTAAATTGATTGGTTTTTGACATTCTGGTTGTGATTCAATTACAAAAAAATGTCTTTGCACAACCAAATTCTCCCTTCAAATCTTGTCTTCATCAACACCTTGTTAATGACTTTGCCATTAAACTTAACTTAGATTTTGATAATTACAATACAACTAATGATAGTCGTTTTATTTCATATAAAAGAAGATTGTTTTCGATCATTAATGCACTAAATTTTGTTCTTTAGTCTTCTTAAACTTTCTAACTGCCTTAAAATATTTCATAAAATAAGAACAACCACCTAAAATATCTAAGATAAAGTTTAAAAACCCTCATTGTAGATGTTCACAACAAGCTAAAAAAATTATTTTACAAATTAATCCATAAATTTTGAAGACAACTTTAAGTAGAGTTGAAATAAGTTTGAATGGTATAAACTTTAATACTAGTGTATACCAAACTCATCTCTAGTTGAAGGTAATTCTTATAATTTTGACATTTGATGAGGAGAAGCATCAAGTACCACTGGGCTTGAATAGATCTGCTACAATTTTTTCTTCAGAGAAAATTATGAGATTCAAACTATACAGTGGTACGCAACATCATGCCACTTTAGGTGGAAGCTAAAATATAAAAGAATTTAATTGATAACCTATGCTTACAAAATGTTCAGTTTAAAAATATGCTTGTAGACAGCTAAGATCAAAAATAAC